AGAGAGAGAGAGAGAGAGAGAGAGAGAGAGAAAGAGAGAGAGAAGATATGGATGAGGGTTTAATGAAGATGGGCCATGCTGAACATTGGTCTTGGGTAGCTATTTTGGGGTTTAATGGTTAGCAAAGGTGCAATGCGTCAGACAAACATAGTTTGGCGCAGTTGGGAATTGGGACGCTTATAACAAAAGCGAACATTTTGCTTCCACAACAAAAATCGATTTCATACATTGTACTGGTCGAACTGTGGACGGACTGAAGATACACGTATTGCATACTGAGCGCAATGGCTGCGATGTACTTCAAAACACATAGTGCTTGTTTGACAGTCGGGCCACGTGATTTACTTCACTCCAAACATGATTACTGTGAAAAGAAGTTCCTCTAAATGTTGGTGACAGAAAGGCTGGACAGTTGTTCACAATAATACCTTCACTTTGCAATCAAACAGTTTGAATGTGTTGTCCGGCATTAATTAGTATTGGTTTGAAAACCTTTACAATTCGTACATTTTGTTTAAGAGGCAAAAACCTCATAAATTAACGTTCATGGCCTTGAAAACTCCCCGAAATACCCACTTCAGAGACCGCAACAATTGGGGATTTAAACTAGAGCAGTGTACACCGTAACCCAACGCACAATTTTAGATTCGGAACCACACGTTTCTCACTCACCTTAGACTGATAAACACCCGAGTGATTTAAATCTTCTTATCTTTGCCTATAGTATACATTGAAAGCAAAATTCACATTAAGAGACCATGAAATACGACGCTCAGAAACATACTTCTGCCTTCGAAATTTGGAACTTGGTTGTGCCACAAGCCAGATGTTTCAACAAACCAAAGGGGTTGTCAACAATAATTATCACTGACGGATGCGTATGGAGATTTTTATGGGACGGAAATGTTAGGATATTATTCGATGTGTGGTTCTCTATCATAAAGTTGAAAAAAGAATCCAGGAGGAAAGGAAGAAGTGTTATCTATATTTAAAGTTTTTAACCTTTAGAGAACACGGAATAATGAATTATTAATTACAAAACTTTATTTTGAAACTGAGAAAGGATGCCTAATAGAGCTTTGATTTAGACTCAGAACTTTTTCTTTTTTAACTCTGCAAGTTGGATGCTTTGCCGATCGACTAGGAACAGCTCAAAAACACCCTTCTCCCATCAGCGTTAACTGATTCAGTGCAACTGTTAAACTTTCAAATTACGCGCATGTTTTTCTGGCACCGGGACAGTGAAATAAATAGTTCTTCTTTCAAAATGTAATGAATAGTTAGATCAGAGTTATATAAAATAAATAATATTCAGTTCTTGAGTTACTTATCTTACTTTTAAATCTTTCGACCTTTCAAGGAAAGACACCCAAGATGGCGCCTGTGAGCTCCTACAAGTTAAAAGATCCCCGCGTGTGTCGAGTGTTTGTCTCTTCACCTTTCGGAGGTTACGAGAAGGAGCGAGAGGAGCTGGTTCTCAAGTACTTCCCACAGCTCAGTCATCTGTGTCAGGGTCGGGGCGTGCAGTTTGTGGCCGTCGACATGAGGTGGGGGATCACAGAGGAGGCTGCTACTGATGCTCAGGTGAAACTTGTCGTTGGGATTTGTCACGTCGTGTGAGGTCGTTAACGTGTGCATGCGTATGTGTTAATGCTCGTGTGTGAATCCCTGGGCATTTATGTTACGTTTGCAAGAAAGAGATATAGAAATAGATAATTATTGAGAGAGAGAGAGAGATCGGAGAGAAACAGAAAGAGAGAGAGAGAGAGAGAGAGAGAGAGAGAGAGAGAGAGAGAGAGAGAGAGAGAGAGAGAGAGAGGGAGAGAGAGAGAGTATGTGTACGTTTGTGTATGTGCATCAATTTGTGCGAATACATATATGTATGTTTGTAAGTGTATCACTGCATAATATAATAATATCACTTGATTGAGAATGCCGTGGTGTGAAAAGCGAGACAAGGAGGTAAATAATGTTCTTAGAAATGCTGCTGTAAAGCTGAGAGGTTCAAATCCCTTGGTGGGAGGGGGGGGGGATTAATGAATACAGTGAGCAAAAAATGATTAATGGATGCCATATTTTCATTTTTTATTCCCTTCAGGTGGTGAGCATATGTCTCCGGGAAGTGGATCGTTCGGATATTTTCATCGGCTTCTACGGACAGGTCAGTTTCATGAAGGGAGCTAAGTGGGGAATAATACAATATTCCAAAGATACGCGCTTATATCCCCTGCTAAAAGACCTGTTATTGTGGGCCTCGGGCTGAGGCCTTGGGGCTGAGCCTGAAAACCACCCATTCAGAATGATGTTGATTGATTGATTAAGCATGACTGTAAAAATTCTGCACTTCCACAGACACAACATTATATATCATCTTTACCATTCCCCTCCTCCTCCTCCTCCTTATCATCATCATCACCATCATTAAGTGTCAGATGAACGTCAGACATAATCAATCATGCATTTTCAACATTCTTTTCCTAGGATGCTCTTTAAAACGATAGATTATCCTGGTCTTACCCTGTCACCCGTAGGTTAAGACTGTCCAGGTTGGCTGCTCTGGGTCTGCCCCTACCTCCTTTGCTTAGAATGATGCTAGTGAGAGCGTGACGTTCAAGGCCTTTTATGTCTATTTGAGAGTCCCAGAAATTGCATGTGTGTTTTTATTATTTCGACAAAAAGGAGCACATTTTCCGAGCTTTATTGTTTCTTCACTTGGTTGTATACTTCAAGAAATGGTGACCTTTAAGCGATCCTATTCAGTGTTTAGACAATAGTATAAGATAGATGAGGGAAAAGATACTGGACAAGATGACAACATGGCTGGGAGCAGCAAGAACAACAGACACCATTGCTGCATCGAAGGACAGATGGAAGTGGAGGTCCATGATCGCCCACGCCAGTCGGCAAGGCACCGGATGATGATGATAAGATAGATGTCATGTAAAAAGGAAAAAAAGGTGGGGGAGCATTCTTATTTTGAGTTTATAAACATTATATTATTATAATTATGCTTATGTTTTCGAACCACACCTTTATCTTTTCTGATTCCTTTTCTGTTTTTAATCTTGTCATCAACACACCACGGTCTTCAGAGGTATGGATGGCACGGAGCTAAAGACCCCATGTTACAGAAGAACATCGACAACGCCAAGAAAAGATACCCGTGGCTCACCAAAGTCAAGGTAATTCTTCCAGGTGGAGGTCAGGAGTGGGGGTGGGTTGGAAGGCCGTCATTTCTTTTAAAAGTAGTTTGCTCGTTTCTCCAAAGTTTTCATGTGATATTTTCTTTGACGTATTGGTTTAGGAAAGAGAAAAGGAGAGGAGGGTGGGGAATGAGGAAAAGGGAAAAAGGTATGGGG